CCACATAAGAAAAAAGCCGGAAGTGGTGCTGTAGCTCAAGTGGTAGAGTGCTAGCCTTGAGCTGAAGAGCTGAGGGACAGCGCCCAGGCCCAGGGTTCAGGCCCCGCGACCGGACCCCCCCAAAAAAAAAAAAGTTCATAGCCAGGTACTGGTGGATCACACCTGTAATCCTAGCTATTCAGGAGACTGGGAGCTAAGGATCATGGTTTAAATCCAGTCCAGGCAGGAAAATCCACCATTTATTATTTTTGCCAGTCATGGAGCTTGAACTCAGGGCCTAGGAACTGCCCCTGAGCAACTTTGTGCTGAAGTCATGAACTCTACCACTTGAGCAACCGTGACTTTGGAGTGTGTTTATTGAAGAGACTCAGACTTTCCTGCTCAGGCTTGCTTTGAACCTAAATCCTCAGACCTCAGCCTCCTGAATATCTAGGATTATAGATAGGAGCCACCTATGCCCGGCTAATCCATAACATTATCTCCAATTAAACACCAAAAGCCAGAAGTGGAGCTGTGGTTGAACTTAGGTGGAAGAGGGCTAGTCTTGAGTAAAAAAGCTTCAGGGTTAGTGCTCAAGCCACACAGACACAGACACACACACACACAAAGTTGCATATTTAGGATAACAATAATTTGGAGGCCTCAAGTGCAGCCTTTATACAAAGGAATGACAGCTTTCAGAGTGCTTGACAAATTAAAGAAAAATCACTAGGTAAAATGTACACAGAACTAGAAGATGGCTAAAGCAAGGCCAGACAAGATTTTACAGGATGGCTTCTGGATAAAGGTAGTGGCAGTTACAATATTTAAAGCCACTCAGACAGGACATTGCTTTGGTGCGGTTTGAGGCATGGCTCAGTTGGTAGAGTGGTAGCCAAGGAGAAAAGCAGCAAATATTGAGTTGTGAGTCCCATTCTCAGATCTAAAGGAAAACTTTTTGCAAAGATGTGCTATACATATCTGTATTTTGTTTTTCAGGTGCTGGGTATTGAAGTGTTCAATTAATCTAGGCAAGCATGTTCTACCACTGTGCTACACCTATAACTTAGAATATGTTTTTTTTTTGGGTGCTAGTCTCCTGAGACTTGAACTTAGGACCTAGGCACTGTCAGCTTTTTCCTTTAAGGTTGGCATTCTACCACACCCGCTTCTAGCTTTTTGGTGGTTAACTGGAGATGTTCCATGGTTTCTTGTCTGGGCCGGCTTTGAACCATGATCCTTACATCTCAGCCTCCTGAGTAGCTATGACTGTAGGTGTGACTCATGATGCTGAGCCTAGAATACTTTTTTATTTGGGGATTACATAATGTTTTGACCAAGCTTGATCAAAAAACTTACAAAATTTCCAATTTCTGCAGGCATATTATCTGATTTGACTCCAAGAAGCTCTGAGCCAGCCAGAATTATTGCATTTGTGTTTATATTTGTTGATAATTCTTTAGTGGAAGCTGGGTGGCATGGGGAAAATGAATCATTTATAGTACTCAAGGTAAAAAAAATGAAGATCTATTTTTAGGGAACCAGTATTCATAAAACAATTTTTGTGGCAACAAGGTAGCATGCTTTGTGTGGTTTCAAGTTATAGATTCTCAAACTTACTCTAGATATAGTATAGGTAAATTTGAGTAACTATACAGCATTGAATTATTTTTATCTGAACATCTATAGTTTATCAATGGCAGCCTCTTTGGAAGCATATACATTCATAGATATCAAGAGTATTATATATTATGCCAATGAGAATAAGTCTCTAAATAAAGTTAAGAAAAGTACTCAAGATGAATTCATAAGATATAAAGGTGAAATCATAGCTGGGCGCTGGTGGCTTATGCCTATAATCCTAGCTACTCAGGAGGCTGAGATTGAGGATCATGGGCAGGGAAGTCCATGAAACACGCTAGCGCTCTACCACTTGAACCACAGCACCACTTCTGGCTTTTTCCTGCTTATGTGGTCCTCACGCATGCAAAGCAAGCACCCTACCATCACTGAGCTACCTTCCCAGCCCCTCCATGAAACTCTTATCTCCAATTAACCACCAGAAAACCAAAAGTGGCACTGCAGTGGTAGAGTGCTAGCCTGCACTGTATCCAGGCCCTGAGTTCAAGTCTTACAAATGACCAAAAAAAAAGGTGAAGTTTTGAGGGATGGTCCTTGTATAGGTTTTTCAAGTTACCATAAATAACACAATGTCAGAGAAATGTCTTTTGAAACCAAATATTTAATATTTTCATCAAGCTGTTCCATACATTTCAAGCAAATGCCAACTGGAAGACCAAATCCAGGAATTCATAAGGGAAACAATCTTCCAGACAAAGAACATTAAAGTGATCATCATCCACTCTAGCCATAGTACTAGTGGCTATAATCATGGCAGTTAGCCAGCATTATCCAGATTATCGAGTGTTTACCTGTTGAGAGAAAATGTAAGTTTCAAAACTTGTACAGTGATAACAGAATCTTAAGGATGGAAGCTATTTAAGGTATTCTCCAAATTCCTTGATATTACAAGAAAAACAAAAATGTCTCTTTTTGACCTTATAAGGAAATTTACAATCTATCTCTCTCTCTATATATACTTACCACATCATCAATTTTCAGAATGCTTCGGACAGTTTCAGTTGCTAAGGTCAGAGCACTGACTGAAACCAACAAAGGCTGGACAACCATTTCCTCTAAAATATTGGAAATACCACCCTGCAAAACAGCATAGGTTACTTTTAGTGCTTATTTACTATATACATTAATATTACCTTGACATAAGTATGCCTTCAGACTTTTTCAAACCTATCTTTCTCAGAGGAGGTACATCAAGGCAGGATATTCTACTAAGTTTTTCTCTAACTTGCAGGTTGGATTTCAACTACAAGTTGAGAAAATGCTGAGTCTCATCTGTTTAAAAATATCCTGGCAAGGGCTGGGAAGGTGGCTCAGTGGTAGAGTGCTTGCCTTGCATGCAAGAGGCCCTGGGTTCGGTTCCTCAGCACCATATAAGCAGAAAAAAGCCCAAAGTGGTGCTGTGGCTCAAGTGGTAGAGCACTAACCTTGAGATGAAGAGTTGAGGGACAGCACCCTGGCCGAGTTCAGGCCCCACGACTGAGCAAAAAAATTAAAAGAAAAAAAAATCCTGGCAAAATCAGGTAGGTGATTATAGTTTAAAGTTACGAGATCTTTGTCATGTGCTGATGTCTCAAGCATTTTATCTAATCCTAGCTATCAGGAAGCTGAGATCTGAGTCTGAGAATCAAGATTCCAAGTCAGCCTGGGCAAATAAATCTAAGAGACTGATATCTCCAGTTAACCAGCCAAAAGCTGGAAGTGGAGTGTGTGACTGAAGTGGTAGAATGCCAGCCTTAATCAAAAAAGCCAAGCAAGAGTGAAAGGCCCTGAGATTAAACCCTAGTACTGGCACATACGCACAGAAGTCAGGAGATTTTCAATGCTTCAATTACCTATGGCTATTAATTAAGAGTTGGACCAAGTCACTCTTCCTTTACATTCCTGTACTTTCCACCTTTGGTTCTTCATTACACAATTCTAGTTCCTTCATCCCTGGCTAAGACAAATATCCATACCTCCAGATTTCTCTCCGTAAAAAAAAAAAAAAAACCAAAAAAACCAAAAAACCCATTGCCCTAATTTGTTAACAGACCTTACTGGACCCTAACTATAGGAGAAATGCCTGCCTCAGCACTCAAGGGTCTCTTCATTCTAGCTTTTCTATGTTGTACATAACCCTTCCTTACACATGGGAATAACCTCTTGATCCGTTTTCACCTGTAAACTACTGCTGTACCATATGCAATTTCCTATTCACCACCAACCTAACCAAGTAGTGGCACTGTCCCTCTTCCTTTGGGCTTCTGCACTACTCAAAAGTAACTTTTGAGGGCTAGGAAGGTGGCTCAGTGGTAGAGCACTTGCCTTGCATGCATGAGGCCCTGGGTTCGATTCCTCAGCACCACGTAAGTAAAAAGAAAAAAGCCGGAAGCGGCACTGTGGCTCAAGTGGTAGAGCGCTAGCCTTGAGCTGAAGAGCTGAGGGAGAGCACCCAGGCCTAGAGTTCAGGCCCCACAACCGGACCCTCCCCCCCAAAAAAGTAGTAACTTTTGAGCATTATTTTTTCTTACAATCATAGATTTGTTCTTCAACACTCAATGTATTTACTTCACTACACTATGTTCACAATAACAACAGTTCACTTTTATACAGCTCTAATATTGCTCTTAGCTCTTGATGTATGAACTTTTTTGTTGTTGTTGTTGGCTGTTGGGACTCTGGGCCTGATCGCTGTGCCTCAAGGCTAGTGCTCTACCACTTTGAGCCACAGCACCACTTTGGGTTTTCTGGTGGTTAACTTTGACATAAGAGTCTTACAGAGCTTTCTGGCCAGGCTGGCTAAGATCTCAGCCTCCTGAATAGCTAGGATTACAAGCATGAGCCACTGGCACCTGGTTTAACTATTGTTTTTACAATGAAAAGAAGTTGAAGAACAATTAAAAGTAACTAGGTAAAAGTTATTAAGACCAAAATAGTACTTCGCATTAATGGAAATAGTTTTTCCCATTTTTAAAGTCATACACACTTTTGCAAGTCTCACATTTAAGTCCAAGATCACACACACACTACTTTTAAAGTATAAAGTCTTTTTTTTTTTTTTTTGGTCGGTCCTGGGACTTGAACTCTGGGCCTGGGCGCTGTCCCTCAGCTCTTCAGCACAAGGCGAGCGCTCTACTACTTGAGCTACAGCACCACTTACTTAAAGTATAAAGTCTTACCTAACAGATAATTACAAAGCTCTTAGTATTTTTATCTTAATCATCATTTTCTCCCATAAAGATTATGTCATTACCTTTCGGACATTAATGCCTGTAGTCTTTTCTCCTTGGGCATGCCGGTTTCTTAATTCTGTTACTGTGGAAATGGGATTCAGGCCAGCATTTTCAGCTAGCGTAGATGGAATGACCTCCATAGAATCTGCGAAGGCACGGACGCAGTACGATTCCATACCACTCAGTGTTCGTGAATACTCAGTCAGTCTTAAGGCCAACTCTATTTCTGGAGCACCACCTCCTGCAATAAGAGCTCTGAAATCCACAAATATTTTTAAGCTATTTTAACAGCAAATTTTATTTTAGTGCTAGTACTAGGGCTTGAACTTAGAATCTTGAGTTCTTGCTTAAGGCTGGCATTATACCACTTAAGCCAAACATTTACTTCCAATTTTTTGTGGGTTAATTGCAGATAAGAATCTCATGGACTTTTCTGCTTGGGCTGGCTTTGAACTGCAATCCTTAGGTCCAAGGTTCCTGAGCAGTTAGGATTACAGCTATCAGTGTCCCACAAATAATTTTTTTTTAACCAGTCCTGGGCTTGAACTCAGGGCCTGGGCTCTGTCCTTGAGCATCTCTGTGTTCAGGCTAGTGCTCTACCACTTGAGCCACAGTGCCACTTGGAGCCACAGTGCCACTTCCAGCTTTTGCTGTTTATGTGGTTACTGAGGAATTGAACCCAGGGCTTCATGCATGTTAGGCAAGCACTCTATCACTAAGCCACATTCCCAGCCAAATAATTTTTTTTTTTTTTT